AGCCATGCTGGCTGGGGAATTCTGGGAGTGGGTCCACACATCTTCAAGTGGCCAAGACTGAGAAACACTGCCATAGATCAAACTTCAACATAAGAAAAAAAAATCTAATGTTGCTTATCCAGAAGTGTTACCTGGCATTAGAGATGTTAGCTGGAGTCTGGGGAAGACTAATCACTTTCAGTCCATAATTTTTAGATGCACCAGGATTTGTCACCTTCCAGGAGATGGAAACACATCTCCCTGGGAACACAGGAGTCTCTCTGCTCAGCTGGAACAAATCAGGGTTTAAGTTACAGAACTAGGGTAGAGACACTGCAAAGAAAGAGCTCTGAAAAGACAGTTCCTTGGGTATCTGCTGATAGATTTGTTAGCAGGTCAGCTTCAAAACAGAAGACAGCTCAGATGAGTATTCGCTCAGGCCAATCAGGGAGATATCTGAGGGAGGAGATTTTAAAACTAGCCCTGGATAGTGGGAGAAAAGTATTGGCCTGATCTTGAAGAGGAAAGATCTCATAAAATGACAGAAAAGGGAGAAATGGAAAAGCACTTTACCAGCATGAAAAATACAGAATGCCATCTCTGGGGTACTCTACTGAGAGTTGATAAAACTGGAGAGCAAAAATAGAAAAGTGACATGATGGTTTGGACACATTTGCCTCGTCCTTTGTAAGGAGCTGTTTTTCGATTTGTGGCAATCACTTTTGTTCAGCAACACTGTGGTAGAAGAAAAATATCTAGAAAAAGGGGTTTTGAGACTCCTCTCCATTTGCAAGGGACTGAAAGCAACTTGTTCTAGATCCTCAAGACTGCCCCCATTCTATCTGGTGTGGCTGCCACGGATTTCCTATAAGAAAATCATTCACACTTAGGCACCCAGGATAGGAAACACGTTTCATTTCCCTAAATAATTGCAAGAGAGAGAGAGAGGGAGAGAGAGGGAGAGGGAGAGGGAGAGGGAGGGAGGGAGAGAGAGAGAGAGAGTTGGCAATTATTTAGGGAAATAAAACATGTTTCCTATCCCAGGTATAGATAGATATATCTACACACACACACACACACCCAAAATATTAAGAAGAGAGCCAATTTGATCTAGTGCAGTGTTTCTCAACCTTGGTGACTTGAAGATGTGTGGACTTCAACTTCCAGAATTCCCCAGCCAGCCATGCTGGCTAGGGAATCCTGGGAGTTGAAGTCCACACATCTTCAAGTCACCAAGGTTGAGAAACACTGGTCTAGTGGTTAAGGCTCCAGACTAAAAACCAGGAGACTGTGAGTTCTAGTCCTGCCTTAGGCATGAAAGCCGGCTGGATGACTTTGTGTCAGTCCCTCTCTCTCAGCCCAACTCACTTCACAGGGTTGTTGTTGTGGGGAAAATACAAGGAGGAAGAGGAATTAGGTATGTTCACCACCTTGAGTTATTTATAAAAATAATAAAGGCAGGACAAAAAATCTAAAAAAAAAGAAGCAATAATCACTGGAGATAAAGTTCTACAGAACAGAATGTCTATAGTAAAATAATGATAGGAAAAGGAGAAAAATGTAAAATACAGCTGTGTGCCCCAAATCTTCCTCCTTGGCTTTCCTATCTTACCTCTAGGAGGGATCCTGTGACGGTTGCCACTTGAGGAGCAGATCTCTCCAACTTCTGGCCTTCACCATCCACTCCACGTACCACTATGGAAAAGCTGTTGGTAGTTGACAGTGTTTGAGGCAGCTCAGCCATCAACAGATCCATCCGACTGTCTCCTCTCTGTAGCTTCAACTCCCCAAGGTTGCCTGTCTTCGTTTCTAAGTTCACCGACTGTAGCTGAACGGAGCCCAACTTGGTCTGATTCAGACCAATTGCCATTATGACCAGGTAAGTAGGCAAACCTGTCGAAAAGCAAATTAAATGTGAATTGCACCAGAATTGCATCCAATCTCTAAACAGCATGGTGTGCCTGATTCTTTTAATCCTCAACCAAGGACTGTGTTCGTGTTCTGACTAAGGACGGAGATCGTTCTAAGGAATTGCTGGATCTTCTGTTTTCTAAAGTGTGGAATTCAAGTCCTGCCGGTGGGGTTTTTCCTTCTTTCCAACAATGAGGTGCAAACTCAAAGCATCACAGCACAGACAGGGATGAACATCTGTAGTTTTCTCCCCCAATTTCAAGTCATCCTGTATTTGGGGTGGTACTTTTAGGAGATCAACTCAAAAGGTGGGAGGAAGCAGGATGAGGAAATGATGCTAAGAAGACGGTCTAGCGTTGCTGTCTCCATCACTAAGATGGAAAATAAGATGAAGCAGAGATCACGGAGGCTTCCACAAAAAGGTTGGCCAACCTTACTAATCAAAAGGCATAGTGGAAAAGATGCCACCTTTTCCTGCTTTAGAGATTATTTTTTCTGGAAAGGGGAAAAAATGAAACTAGTATAGGGGAAAACATTGAAGAAGCCAAAGCCAAAAATGTTGGACAGGACAGCTGAGTAATAAATGCCTCACCTAAAAGCACAGTGTGGGAAGGATTAAGGAAAAATCCATGATTTTTAAGGTTGAGGTATGATGGTACAAGTTGGTGGATAGTTTCCCATAAATTCACACCCTTCAGAGATCAGCTGTGATTGCCAAATACATAATGGAAGGCTACCATTAGATAAAGACCTCTCCTTTGTGTAAAAGCAAACATGGATCTTCTGAACGGGAGCAGTCTCCACATTTACCTTCAACAGGAGGACTATCCAGCATGAATAACCCTGGGTGACGTCCCTCAACAGGAACAGCAAAATAATACAGGAAATCGAGGGTGCTCTGACCTGTCAAAACATTCAGGTATTTTAAAACCAGACCCACTACTGTGGTCAGCAATGGACTAGGGAGTTGAAGGGTACAGCTCTTTAAAGACTGAAAATGCTACCTTTTCTTCACTGGCTTTTCTTTAGAACACAGAATATTACTTCCCCGTTACAGGTAGTCCTTGACTTACGATCATTCGTTCAACGACCAAAGTTACAACAGTGCTGAAAAAGGAGACTTATGACTGGTCCTCAAAGTTGTGGCCATCCCAACACCCCCGCAGTCACGTGATCGTGATCTGGATGCTTGGCAACTCATTTGCACTTACAGCAGTTGCCAAGCAGCCGGTGATCACATGATTGCCATTTGCAACCTTCCATGTTGGCTTCCCCAAAAAGTCAAAGGGGAAGTTGGCAGGGAAGATTGCAAGCTGCTGGGATAAGTCTTCCCCACCCACACACCCTCCACCAGCCCCTCTGCGCTTGCGACACACCAGTCACTCATGCACCCCTGTGCACCCTCCTAAGCCCACACCACACCCCAGCACACCCTCCCCGACCTGCATGGTACCTCTTGCACAACCCCATGCACCTTCTCCAACCCATGTGGCACCTCTTGCACACTGCCGTGCACTGCCGAGCACTCTCCCCAACCCACACAGCTCTGCCACGTACCACTGCGCACCTTTCCTGACTTGTGCCACACTCTCGTGCACCTCCCCAACCCACGGCGCCTCTCATGCACCTTGTGCACACTTGCCAACCCACACCACACCCTTGTACACCCTCTCTGACCCACATGGTGCCTCTCACACACCCCCTCACACCCTTGCACACCCTCTCCGACCCTCTCCCATACTCCCTCACTCCCTCCCCCACCCAGCTGCAGCCATTTACCTGCTTGCCAGCCTGGGACTTGCAACTTCCTGCCAGCTTCCCCACAGACTTTGGTTGTGCGAAGCCAGCAGGAAGTTGCCTCACCTAACAACCATGGGATTCAGTTAATGACGGCAATCGGGACTGCAGGGATTGCCATTGCTAAGCAATGTGGTTGTGCTTTATGACCGCATCGCTTAGCGATGGAAATTCCAGTCCAAATTGTCATCGTAAGTCAAGCAGTACCTGTACATCCCAGGACTCTCTACTTGTTCTGCCCTTTTTTAACCCCAACACTTAATACACGGCCATTTTTGAACTGATCTGTTAAGTAAACCTGGCCAATACAAATGACAGAAAACTACTGAATCTTTACATTGGGGGAGACAACCTACAGCCCTGAGATCAACGTCCCCATACCTAATGGTCCTGCTAAGCAACTAGCCCAGTTTAAACCCACTTCTCACCTTGAATGTACACCGAATAATGCCCTTTGGACTGGAGTTTCAAAGTCCATTCACCAGGATGGACAGGAGTGGAAAGGAATGCTCTATAAATTCCACCGATGGACTGGATCTTGGCTAAGGGACCGTGAGCTGTGGCATCAGTTTGGAATCTGTCTGTACAAAAGTGTATGGGAAGAACATCAGTAGTATTTAAGACATAAACTCAAGTGTTTTTGCCAAGCATGTTATACAGTGAAAAGGCAGCCATGTTTGCTCTCTGTTTAAGAATAAGATACCCAATAAGTCAACAGGAATCAATGCTATTTCAGTACCTTACTGAACAATCCTATACTTAGTATTCAGATACAGTGGGGTACAGTGGTTAAGACAGGGTTAGGCAACCTGTGGCCCCAGGGATAGACATGACCCCCAAGTCCCCTTTTCTTGGCACCCAAAACCCCATCTGACTGATGAAAACTAAAAGTACGATTTCCTTCCATCTTGAGATGGGAAATAAATGAAAACTCTAACAAACTGTACAATAAGCACGTATTTCTTTAGAAAAAAATAAGAAACCCCCTCAAAGCCACTCCTATCTACATATGTATTGTGGCCTCGCCAGCTCTGGAACCCTTAACTCCCCAAAAATGCGACGCGTGGTCTTTGGCCATCAAGGGTTGGCCATTCTTGGGTTCACCTGGGACCCAGAAGATTCCAATTCCAGTCCCAGATTCAATCCTGGGAAAAACCCCTGGAGAACCAATGTCAGTGAGTGTCTGTGACAGCAGGTGACATGGACCACATTCCAACTTCCCTATAGAATCTTGCAAATAGAATCCCCATACCAGCCCCCAAAAGAGCAAGAATCATGGAAATTGAGTGAACTGGAATCCCTATATAATTAAGAGAGTGAGTAAAGTTCTTGATTCACACTTTGCAGCTAAAGGAAGCATTGTCCTACCTCAGCCTAGGTTTCTTTATGGTCTTAAGGTGTCATTGTAATTTTAATTTATCCATGTACAAAAAGAGCAGAGATGGAAGCATAAAGGAACATGTGGGAAATCCAAATTTGCTTCCCCATACCCGATCTTCACAGAAAGATATTTTTATCACACACAGTTGCTAGTGTGACATGTTAGGATTAAGAAGTTCCAAATTAAAATACTCCATCAGACACAAAACTCACTGGATGTTCTTGGATGTGTAATTTGGTTGGTTGCCAAGGCCTAGTAATAAAGATTTAATGTGGGTTGCTTGGTTGTGGCTTAGCATTTGTAAACTCAGACATTATTGTTTGTAAACCATAATTTATGGCTTACAGCAGGCCTGCAGAACTTTTTTTAAGGATAGCCACAGCTGATCATTGCAACAACCTTGCTAAAATGGAGTCTTCCAGCTCCTAGATTCCTGGAACCAGGACGAGAAAGGCTGCCTTAGAGTACTGACCATCCATCAGGATAAAAATAAAAGGAAAGATCTGAACCTGAAGATTTGAATTAGCAGGTGTCTTCCAGCTAAGCTTTCTGATACTATTGATTTCTGTCATGCATTTCCAAAAAGTTCAGGTGGAGTCCAATCACCACTGTTCTAGGATATTCCTTAAAATAGATCAATTTACATGGCTATTACTTGTTTATTTCTGTATTTCTGTGGGGGATTTTATTTATTCTGCAGTAACTATTCCCTCCTCACCACTCAGCTGCTCTTCTTGGAGCTGCCCTTAAAGCAGTGTTTCTCGATCCTGGCAACTTTTAAGATATGTGGACTTCAACTCCCAGAAATCCCCAGCCAGCATGCTG